TACTTAAGACACGTATTGCATAACTGTAGCTTTTTCCTCTCTCTTTTGTTTTCTATTTGTATAGAATATCTTTCTTAATATTTTTACTTAAAAAGGGAAGAGTTTTTTTGTAGAAAGCAAATACCATGGCATTACTTCTTATTCAACCTCATACTCTATGTCTTTTGATTAGGTTTTAGAGCTTTTATTATTAAAGCTTTGGCATAACTATTGAGAGAGATGAACTTAAATTGCCCTTTATGACAAACTCATTGCCAACATCATATTAAATGAGGAAAAGCTGAAAGCTTTCCTGCTAAAATCAGGAGCAAGACAAGGATATCCACTATCACCATTCTTGTTCAACACAGTCTTTGAAATATTAGCTAGCACAGTTATGCAAGAGAAAGAAATAAAAGAAAAGGAAGCAGTCAAATTAACATTATTAGAAGGTTAAAGCTAGATGAGTATCTTTCACCGCATATTAAAGTAAAATCAAAATGGATCAAAGATCCACATATTAAGACAGAAACACTTAATCTGCAAGAAGACAAAATAGGCAAAACTTTTGAAGACATACGCATAGGCAAGGACATTCTGATCAGAACCCCAGTTGCACAAGAAATAATACCAAGGGTCAACAAATGGGATCGTATTGAACTTAAAACTTCTGCACAACAAAGGGAGCAGGCAGCAGAATGAAGAGATAACCTATAGAATGGGAAAAATTTTGCCAGCTACTCTTCAGACTAAGGATTAATATCTAGAATACATAAAGAATTCAAAAGAATTAGGGCCCCACAAATGAAAGAGTCAATAAAACATTGGTGTCTGAAATGAATAGAGTCTACAGCCATACTACCCTGAATGTGCCCGATCTTGTCTGAAATGAATAGACACTTGTTAGATAAAGAAAAGCAAATAGGGGATGAATACTGGAAAAAATGTTCAGCATCATTGGCCAATCAAGAAATGTTAATGAAAACAATGCTGAGATTTCATCTCACTGCGGAAAGAATGACTATCTTCAAGAATTCAAATAGTAGCAAATGCTGGTGAGGCTGTAGGGAGATAGGGAGTCTTCACTGTTTGTGCAAGTGTAAGCTGGTACTACCACTGTACAAGTGAGTATGGGGAATCCCATCTGACCTAGCTATTGCCCTTCTAAGTATCTTGCAAAAGGAATTAAAGACATCACAGTGATATGTGTCCATCCATATTATAGTAGCACAATTCACAATAGCTAAATCTTGGAAACTTCTGGAATATCCATCAACAGATAAATGGTTAAAGAAAATGTGGCATTTATATATTATAGAGTACTACAAAGCTGGGTAAACTTGAGTCACAAAGAAAGATAAACTTAAGTCATTTGTAGGAAAATATATACACTTTGAGATCATAGTTTTAAATGAGATAAATCAGACACAAATGCTTAAATATTGCATGGTTTCTCTTACATGAGAAACCCAAAATATAAATAAAGAACAAAATAAAAGATAGATAATAGGAAGTAGGGAGATAGAGCTTTTCCAAATGAGAAAGGAATGAAGAGATGGAGAAAGGAGGTAGGGGGAGGTTAAGGGAATGAACAGAGGAATTGATATGTGTTACATATATGTGGCAATTCCACACAAGCAATGTAAATATTATGTACTGCAAATATATCTAACAAAAATGCAAACTGATACAAACAAAACATTTTGTTCTATTTATTCTGTCATTCAAGTGAATTATAATATTTTAAGCTCAAAATATTATATTTTAGGCTCATAGAGCAAGGATTATTTTGTGCATATCAAAATTGACTCTATTTCTGAAATCTGTGCACAACAGATTTCTTGCTCTTTGTAGGCAATGAAAGAGTAACATTTTTCACTGTATTTGTTCTTATCAAAATCAAATACAAAAAGAGAAATCAAAATTTCTATTAAACATTTAGCATTGCTATTAAAATAGCAAAGGGTATTGAAATGTATATCAACCAAATATCTGAAAAGGATTACTCTCATACAATGCCATTTTGTATATGAGAATATATCTTTCCATTTTTGTGAACTACCATATCACATGAGTCTGTACTGGAGGGAATTTACAAGAGATGACATTTTAACTGGTGCAGACTGGTGCTCTTTACACCCAGAGCTCCCTACAATTGCCATTTTCCTGTATTGTGTGGTGTTGAAGATCTGTGGGAATTTTTAGGAACTAACTTAGAAGAAGCTGAATTAGAGATATGTTTAAAGAATAGATTTATGTGGATTGTAGTCACTTTCATATCCAACTAAACTCCTTTTTAAGTAGATAAGAAGTCATTCTTCTATGGAAATGACATTCAAGAATTCTGCCACGTACTCCCTCAGTTCAACCAGAATATGTGTCACAAGGGCATAGCGCCAGAGCTCCTATTTTAGGATGAATTTGTCCTGAGGCATCCAGCACAGTGTGATAGTAGAGACTAAGAAAACAATTGATATAATGGATCCAGAAGCTAGTCTATGGGAAACAGAAACATTACAGAAGTTTATCACGCAATAAAGTAGTAAATATAATTATTTTCACCTGAATTGTGTAATATTTGTGATTTGGTCAGTGTTACTATTTTTATATATTAACAAATATATAATTATATATTAACATTGAGTTATTTTTCTTAAAGAGAACTTGCAATATCAAATGAAACCTAGAATCTATGAAACCTAGATTCTCCTTTGAAAAACATGAGAATAATCCTTCCATTGGCCCTACACAGGGTTAAGGCAGGTATTCATATTTTTTAATGATTTGTTTTTTAATAATGTGTTTCTCTGCCACCTTCTCTTGTTAGGATTTTCTGTGAGATTTTTAGAGAAAATTCTCACTGCTTCTTGTATATAGGTTTACATTTTATTTATTTATTTACTTTTCATTTTATTGCTATGTTTTAGATATATATAATGATAACATTCATCATAAGGAATTTATACCTGTATGTGATGTATTTTGCAGCTTATTTTTCCCATTCCCCTCCCCTTTCTTAAACCTCCCTTCCCAGCTTTATTTAAAAAAGCTTTGATATTTGAAAAGTGATGTTATGTTTTCATTTTCGTTCACCATTTCTCCTCCTGTACAAAGCTGTGTATTTGTAGAGAGGAGCTTATTTAAACAGGACATCGTAATTGAACACTGGCCCCAGTTCAGATGATTTCTTTCTACATTGTACGAATACAACTTTTAAAATGGCCATTTCCCCCAAATGTGACCTGTTTTAACCATGAGATGGAGCAACGTGATGACGGTAGAAATATAATGCAGATTATTGTACGCGTCTTAGCAAATGATCAGAGGTTGAATATCTTTATACTTAGGAACGAAGCTAATTTTAATTCCCTGGTTTTACTTAGCTATAAATCACTTGAAGTGCTTCAGTTTTAAATACTGAATCACCACCATGGGCAGCTACATATCTTTATTTATAAGGCAGTGTGGTGGGGCAGCACTGTGGGTGTTTTTGAAAATGCCTCAGCTGTAATTAACCAATTAGTGGTTAGATGCAGGCTTGATTTTGTGTTTCTTCAAGAGGCTCACCTTGTCTTTGGATTCATCCCAGGCCACCCTTTCTGCTGAAAGAAAGGAACAAAGTTACCTTTGGGATATTAAGTAAAATTTAGGGGACCAGCGTGTAACACTTATGTGTTTTGTAATCTTCTAAAATGACTCATTTTGGTCTTTCTTTTTCTGTGCCAGGTACCCTTATTTGCCATGTTTTCTGAAAGTTCTGTCATCAGTGCCCATGTGGGGAATCAAAACACAGGCACCTGGGAATAATTGATCAGGTCTTGTATAAGCCAAGATAGTTTTAATCAACCTTATTTCTTCTTTAATCCAGAGGGAAATAAAATGAGAACTAAGTATCTACTTAAAGAGGAATGACTTCCTTTTTTTTCTATCCTGGGGTGCATAATCAGTCTAAAACCGAAATAATATTAATTTAATATACACCTGATCTTTCCCAAGATCATCACATTTGTCAGATAATCTCGCTTCGTGAGATGTAATTGAAAAATAGTCTGCATTTTAAGATAAAATCATTTTTATTATTATTACTATTATTATTTTTTTTATTTTAAAAATAAAAGGAGGGAAACATTAACAGACATACAACATTTTACAACATATCACAAGCACAATACAGACAATACAGAGTTACAAACAAAGTGGTAGGGAATTAACAATGGTGGTTGTATCACATATTGATATAAGATAAAATCATTTACTCATTTTTCTGTGTTTTTATTTTCCATATTTACTATTCAAAGTATATTAGATCAATGGATCATACTTGTTTGACACACATTTTTGGGACTGATCCTCACACTATTTTTAATTACAAGATTATGAATTCAAGCAGTGGTTCAGAACTGTGATGTTAGTTATAGTTCAAGTGATGACTATAATTAAGATTAATTTTTAAACCAGTTTCCTATACCGAGTAGATGTAGATGGAAAATTTTAAAGAGAAAATGTAAACCCTGCAGTATTTGTCCTGAATATGCCAAAAAGATAATTCTTTAAGCGAGTGGATACTAAGAAGTACTTTGATTTTTGAGATAGTTTAATTATCTATTTATTATTTCATATATGAATGAATCCAATACATATTTATTGAATTCCAGCTCTGCATTGTTGTAGAAATTCAGAGAGTGCAAAGACCACAGAAGAACTAACATCAGAATCTTCCTTAGCGTTACTAAAGCCTGCTTACAGAGAATTATACATGGGGTCTTTAAGACCGAGTGCTTTGAAGTAACTGCAATAATTTTTTTTAGCGAGGTGCATACTTTGTTTGAAGGAATCTGCTCCCTGCATTATGTCACTCGAGAGCAGTCTTAAGCAAGAGCAAAACAAATTAATGAGCTTTTAGAAGTGCAAATTGGTGTCAAGAATGAAAATGAAGGCGTTATATTTTTCTGCCACACCTCAGAGTCAGGGTATATAAAGAGGGTTCTGAGACCAGAGAATCCATCACACTACCTTCTCCTGCTACCTAAGCACTCCACTCCCAACACCATGTACTTCAACAACTTCTCTGATGCTGCCTTCCCCGGATGCTACTGGGGCAGCTACGGCTACCCTCTGGGGTACAGCGTTGGTTGTGGCTATGGCAGTACCTATTCCCCAGTAGGCTATGGCTTGGGCTATGGCTATAATGGATCTGGGATTTACAACTACAGACGCTACTGGCCATTTGCTCTCTACTGATTTCCTGAAGTCCCTTAGGCATAGAATCTTCTTTCCTCTGAAGATGGAGTGGCACATCTCGAGGTTCCTGCTCTACCTACCTCTTTCATGCTCATTTGCTCACCGACCTCCAAGTGGCTGCTTTCCAGACCCAGCATCAGAATTCCAAAGAGGAAACTGAAAGATCCGATGATGCCTCAAGACGACTTCCTGATGTTTGCTGGGACAGTTTCAGAATCTTGACAACCATCCCGACAAGTATTACTTTTGAGATACACTCATGCTTCTTGTCTTGAAGAAGTTGTGGATGTGTCTCTCAAATTCTCAATAAATTTGTTTCAGCTTGCATCATATTCTCATTCTTGAGTGCAGTTTTCTTTCTTAGTATGTGCATAATTTCTAAAACATTGAATGGTGGGGAGGTGGATTTACTGTTTTCACACACAGGCATCAGGAGCACTGAAGGGCAAATAATCCTTAATCTCGTGTGATAAACCGTCACAAGGGTGGGTGTCTAGTGCTGAAAAATGTTTCCTATTTGAACTTTACTCTGAATTAATTAAGCATGCATGCTGTAAAGGGACAAGGAAAGAAAGGAGGGAGTTTCCAGGAATCAGAGTACTTGGCAGAACGTCTCATCCCATGTCAGGAGCTTCATGTCACCTTCTCATCTCATCTCACCTTCCCCAAGAAAACTGAGAGACTTTTTCAGTTATTCCTCTGTTAGTGCACATTAAACTCACGGTGATCTTTCCCAGGCACTAATTATTGCAGAATAAAGTACATTGTATCCTATTTAAGAACCCTGGAATATTATTTTACAAATGTACCCATCCTTTTGGAGTCTGGCATTGTCTTGGGTAAAGTGATAAACTCTTTATATCAAATCATATAAGATGTCTTCTTTGTAACTTAGAAGAACCCACATTAGAAGCAATGATGGGAAGCTTCATTACCTTTATAGAATCAGTATCTGGTAGTGAGCTTCAGTCTTAAAGGGTATGAGCTGTAATGCATGAGTATTTCTGAAGATATATCAGCATCTGTCTATGTTCCTTTAGAGAGGAGAGTAGTGTCTTCTTTATAAGCAAAGTAAAAAATATCTCAGTCCTCCTGTTGAAAACATTTTATGTCCAGTACACATGCTTTTAGAGATGAAGGACTTGGCTGAACTCTGCTTTAATTGAATACTGTACCTCAAGTGGTTATATTGCATGTGACTCACCTTCTAGTTACAATGTAAAAGCTATTTGGAGAGATCACTTCAGGTGAGCGTATATCTCCACCATATTTTGTTCAACACATATCTTTTTAAAAAAGGTCAGAAGACATAAATTTCAAGGGTATCTAGTTAATATCCTCTTTCCTTTTTAAACAAGAGTAGGTATTATTTAAAGAAACAATATCTCCAGGTAGGAACATTCTAGTTCCCAATGGTAACTCATGCTGAGGAATGGAAATTAATTGAACAAGTAAGTTAGAAAAGAATGGGGAAAATTGGGGATATAGCTCAGCAGCACAAGCACTTGCCTGGCAAGTGCAAGATCCTGAATTTGATTCCTGGTACCAGAAAGAAGAAGAAGAAGAAGAAGAAGAAGAAGAAGAAGAAGAAGAAGAAGAAGAAGAAGAAGAAGAAGAAGGAGAAGAAGAAGGAGAAAGAGAAGGAGAAGAAGAAGGAGAAGGAGAAGGAGAAGGAGAAGGAGAAGGAGAAGGAGAAGGAGAAGGAGAAGGAGAAGGAGAAGGAGAAGGAGAAGGAGAAGGAGAAGGAGAA